TTAGAAGACCTACGATCACCAGATGTAATGCTTTGGTATGTCTTACAACCCTTCACATGACCATAAAGGTCCCTTTAGCTAAGCGTCCCTTTATGGTCGGTGGCCAAACACTTCGCTTTTCTCCGCGCGTGTTCTCGCGACCCAGGATCTTCAGTTACAGCGCCTACACACTCGCACAAGCGCGGGATGGTTTGCCGATTGCGAAGAGACCTACGTTAAAGGTGTGTTTATGCTGGCCGTGCGAATGAAGCATTAGAGAATACCTGCGATCATCGCAGGTAGTGATTCGGTACGTCTTAGAATACCTCCAGTCGCCACATGTTGCACTTTGATACGTCTTGAATACCTGCGATCATCGGACGTAGCGCTTTGGTATGTCTTAGAATACCTGCCATCACTCACCCGTCGCGAGCGCTTGGTCATTCCTGAATACATTGGTAAAGGATCGCTGCTTTTTATTTAAAATCGCCTTCAGAGGTTCAGGACTTCCACTTTTTGGTAGATCTCACGACAACGTACCTTTCATGCTACGTAAACGACCGAGTTTGCCAAAGCCGGAAGCTATAATATTTTCATTGATCGGGCAAGTCACGAAGCTTACGGGCGTCATATGGACACTTCACGAGGGAACTGTCGTAATTCTTTTATTCAGTCCTGCCTATGCCCTCCATTTTCGCACACTTTCTGAAGGGTTCATCGCCACACACATCCTAACACTTTCCGTCGGAAATTAAGAAGAAAATGAACTGCCCCACAAGCTTGTTTTCAGAAGAAAAAGAAAACAGTGAAGAAAATAAACGAATTCCAACGAATTAAACTTCCGCTCAACTTGCACCCTGCGCAGCGGGAAGACGCTCTGGGCGGGCAAATACGTTAAGATCTCAGATTTAATATGTTCCCCTTCTCGGCTGACAAAGCGAAAAGAAAAAAGAAAAAAAAGTATAAAGAGTGTCGAGCAAGAATACGCGCTTAATTTCAAGAGAATATAGGGGACGCCTCCGAGCTCATAACAAGAAAAGCAAATAACATTCGTCTTTTCTCTTAGCAAAATGTACGAGAAAACAGGAAGAATGTATGTAGAGGCGATGGCTGGACTATAATTACGCAGCAACTAAGGAATTCTCTTAATTAATTATAGTGTGAAAGAAACAATCATTCCACGCTGCTGGGACTTACGAATGGTTTTCTAGGAGAGTGCTTCTCCGCTCAAAGGCATCTCCAGTAAAAAAATCAAAGAAAACGCGATGTGCAGTTTTTTTTTTTTTTTTACTTTCTTCAAGCAGTTATCGCATTATGAACAGAATGGAAATCTGGAACGTTGTGTTTCGCAAGTCGTTTCTTTTTTTTTTTTCCCTTCTTTTCTTTACATTACTCGTTATTTGGGACATCTCTGTCTCGAATTATGAGATCGCATATTTTTTCTGTCAGCATTGCAACTACCGCGTAACAAAGGAGTATAACATATACCAATAACAAAAAAGGTAGTGCGCTTATTTTGACACTCATAATGGCCAGAAGCCTCGATGCCATACGGCTACAATTTACCACGTGACGTGATGACGCACGAGCACGCAGTCGCGCACCGTTGTCTCGGCATAGCATACATATTATGAGAAAAGAGAACCGTGTTTTTCGGCCTGGGTAAATAAATAATGCGTGGCAGAAAGCTCGAACTCTGTTAGAATGGAACGCTAGCGGCTAGGAGAGAGCGCGAAAGTGTGAGAACACGATGTTACTGATCATAAGGGGATCGGTGGCCGAGTGGTCTAGCGCACACCAGCTCGGAGCACGTGGAGCGAAAGCTCGCGCTGCAGAACCCAGGGATCCTGGGCTCGAGCCGCACCCCTGCCCGTTTCAATCTGGATGAGCATCGTACCGGCGTGCGGTCGTGTATCACTACTGCGTGGTGCACGTTAAAGACCCCAGGCTAGCGGCTGTACCGCACTGGCTAAATTTCTCATCTACAGCTGGGAGACTCGTCGCCCCTGTGAGGCAGACCAAGTTCTAGGCTGTATAAACACACACACAACCCAATTTTTTTGAAAGAGACGAAATGTCTACATCAGTCGACGCCCACCTAAGCCTAATATCGTCAAAACAAGAACCGCGAGTGCGAACGCATGTGGCATCTGTTTCAGTCAAAACAACTTGTCAGTACGAAAGAAAACAAAATCACGTTTCTTACTTACTAGTCATCTTCACTGATATAAATCCCACATGCGTCCACAATCTCAATGCTTGTTTTTACGATATTAGGCTGCTCCCCCCCCCCCCTTCCTTCCCCTCCCTCCCCCCCCCCCCCCCCTCCCCCGCCCTCTGGCTACGCCACTGGGTCGACTCGCATCCATCTACGTGCAGCCGTAGAGACATTTCGTCTTTCTCGATTACCTTTTGATCCCGGTAATGTCACGTTCTCAAACTTTCGCGTTCTATCTCAACCGCTACAGTCCCATTCTCAGGAAGTTTGAGCTTCTTGCGACGCATAATTTATTTACCCGGGACGAAAAGCACGGTTTTCTTTTCTTGGGAACTCCGCAGCGTGAGCGAGCTACTTCGTCGAATTCCCCCATCACATGGCCAAGTCCCGTGCCATGCTGTTTGGCATCGAACGAAGCAACGCAGTTCCACCTTTTTCGGCCGAGGACCCAGCCATATGCCTCGACCCGCCAAAGCGCTCTACTGATCTCACGGAAGAGCCAGGCCGTTGACGGCACCATAAGTTTCTGGCCAAACGGACGGTAGGCGGTGTGACAGGCAGTGTGATTAACGTTGACGGATGAAAAAGAACAGGGAGCAAAACATAGTTCCTTCTACCGCCTCTCCATCTTGCTTGCGTGCGAAGCTTCGAATGCGTCAAAATGAAACTAGCTGGAGGCTACCTGAGTGATTTTTTTTAATGAGTGAACAGCTTATTGACATTCAGTGAACAACTGAGCCAACTTGTCACATTGAATGCGTAATTACCTAATTAAAAGTGTACATTTGTAAATTGATATGTTAGAGGTAATTGTAATATTTATTTTGATCATGAGAGCCGCACAAAGGTCTGCGGGGCCGCATCAATAATGAAGTGATGAGATGGTGTACAAATTACATCGCGGTGCTGACAATGTTCAAGGGAATCTTGTGGGCGAGGGTAATTCAATATTTTTGTCAGTTTTAGTTTTGCGCGTATATGTGTATGGGCAGTGTTGTGCTTAATTTTTTTGCTCATGGACAACTTGGAATAAATATGGACAGAAATATTTCGATCACAGCTATTGGTTCTTTACGGGACGGCTGGACGTCTCGAAACAGAACACGCGACCACGCACCTTATATTCAGCCGAAAGCGAAATCGCACCAGAGTAGGCATATATTACATTATTTATACTGCCGGGACCGGGCGTGCTGTTCAGGAGCCTCGCTCCAGTACGACCCCGAAGCGATCGTATACGACAACCGTCCTTCAAAAATTAAGGGGCGCCATGTTGGATTGTTTATGGCTTGGCGCAGGAACGGCTTCAAAGTAGGCTACTACGAGCCAAACGTCACGCCGCATACGCAGACGCCACACTTCGCGGAAGCCTGGTTTCGGCGCACGTGCAGTGCCCACACCACCTGGTGTGGGCAACTTGTTTTTAAACTACACTGTTAAAAAAAACCGTAAAATTACAGGGAGCGCCAACGGGACCAGAGCCGCTCGCGAGCCGTCGTTGCCGTTTCGCCGTAAACCCCTCCACCGCACCCGAACGAACAGACATAGCCGGCGCGCTGCGCAGGCGCAGTCAATGCAGCCCTTTTATTCGGAGAGGCGGAAGGTCACGTGAACTTCTTTCCCGCGCTCCCGTGGGACGCTGTCCGCGTGAAGGCACCCCTGGCGCATGCGCAGTGAGCGTGTCGAGGCAGATCCCGCGCAATTCGGCGACTTTGCGGGCGTGTTTTTGGTTCGCCGCACTCAAACCTGGAGATTTCACGGTAAGTGCATTACATCCCCTTCCTTGAACTGTTTGATGAATACCTGTCGCACCACTGTTTTCTTAGATGAGTCGAGCAGTTGTCTGGATTCACTATTATGCATTGCTCGCCACAAGCGTGTGCAGACGATGTGCGCCTCGCGCTGGAGGTGCGTAGCGTTTAGGGTAACGGGGTCTTTGCCTTGTTGCTTTCGAGTGTTACTCTAGCATTATCACGAGACGTAGTGTGTCGGTGTTCTACGTTTTTCTTGCTCCCTTCTTAGTTAAATATTATTCGGCTACGTGAAACGCTCTTGGGTTAGCGCTCCGCTGGAAAGGCAGAGGTCCCTGGTCCGGTTCGAGGACCATGCACGCCGATTTTTTCGGTATCTGCTTGTTCGACATAACGTGCTGTTCAGGTGCAATTTGTTTCGAAACATGCAAAGCGACACAGTGCAACGAGGTTTCAAGTGCCCACAATAATATACTATATACGTTTGACCGAAGTGTAAAAAACTAGTGCCAAAATTCCTTTTTTTTTTGTTCGTTTGTGCCGAGCCGACATTTAGCTTCCGTGCACTCTCATATTGTTACGGTAGACTTGTGTGGATTTAGGAAACTTTAAATTGATCGATTCGACCTTCGTGTCTAACACTGCCAGTACTCAAATGCTTTGCAGTACGTCTTTCAGTCCGCGGTCTTTTTTTTTTTTTTTTTTTGCGTTCGTTGAGTTTAGTTTTCTCCATTCCTTGGTGCGCTACTGTGTAGCGACGGCGCCGGACTCTACGTAATGAGTCATGACTGAAACACATTTGCGAAAAGCGGCCAAATTGTATGAAGAAATCGCAAACGAAAATCAGACAGCAACTCCTATTGCCTTTTTTTTTTTTTTTTTTTTCGGCGGGGAAACCCGGAGGGGGACGGAGCGATGTCGCAACGTTACTTCGGGAGTTCCGTCCGTTCCGTCCCTCTCCGGGTTTTCTACGCTATGGCGCAGCCGCGGCAGCCGCCGAGGCTGGTTGTGTGTTTCCGCGGTTTTTGATCAGCTTTGTACGAAGGCTGATTTTCGCCGATCTTTGTCGTGTTACGTGTATGTGGTGAACGGAGCATTGCGGAGACTGAGAATTATGTGGGCTGTTCGCTGTGTTGTGGCATTCGGGCAAAGCAAGATCGCGGTGAGTTTGCTCGTGTACAGTCGGCGGTAAAAGTTTGCGGGGCGCGGGAGCGTCAGCCGAAATGACTGGTTGCGCCTTCTGCGGCGCGCGGCCGCTCTCAAGATTCACGCTTCGAGAATGTGCTTCCTTTCGTGCTCGAAGCCATGACTTTTTTGCTCGCTTCCGCCCGACGTGCACGAGATAACCGGGGACCGGCGCAAGGTGCCGCTATGACAGCCCTCACGCCGCGCGTCTGCCTCAGCCACCGTGATGGGTGACGAAACTCGCGCATGCTACAGATAACATTTCGCGGCACCTTGCGCCAGTCCCAGTTATATATCGTGCGGAAGCGAGCGAAAAAAGCATGACCGCGAACAAGAAAGGAAGCGCGTGCGCATAGCCTGATTCTTGGAGCAGCAACGTGCGTGAGAAGGCGCAGCCAGTCTTTTCGGCAGGCGCTCCCGTGCCCCGCAAACTTTTGCTCCCGACTGTACGTCGGCCGATGCTCGTGTCGGTGCACATCTCAATCTCAACTAAACATCGAGCGCCGATTGTGGCTGACTCCATGCATGTAAGAACGAATTAATCTACCAGGAACTTCGTGAATAAGAACGAGGCAAGCGTGTGGCTGTAGAAGGATGTCGTGACCGGTGGCATACGTACACTGGTTTCCGCACGTTGCTTCTGTTTACTTTATCTGTTGTAATAGCAGTCTTTGTACCGGTGCGTGAAGGCCTCGGTTGCTTCGAAAACCAAAGCTGATACAGCCAGTCTCTTTTTATCCGATGATTCTGTCAAGTCCTAATCACGGCGTCATATATATATATATATATATATATATATATATATATATATATATATATATATATATATATATATATATATATATATATATATATATGGGTGGTTTCATCTCAAATCGTGCAGGCAAAAAGGGTCGAATTTTTAATTTCGATGAAAAAAATATATGTTATGGCGCCGTTTTTAAAAACGCAGCCGCCGCAAACCGCAAGTTCGTCGGATTTTTTGTTCGCGACTTATGAATTTTTAAAGAGGCCGCGGCGAAAAGCAGTGTTTTTCAGACCGTCGTGGGTCGGATGTTTCGCTTGATCTCCCGCCGTGGATTTTCATTCCACATTATATTATCTTTTTTAAAGCACTCTGTGAACACATTTAAAAGGCTCCAATACCATAAAATAATTTTAGGCGTTTTGCTTTTTTTCTGTAAAAATGTCAAAAACGCCCCCTCGGTCAATTGTTGACGAACTTTGACAATTAATTACTGGCGATCTACTTGGGTTACATCAATACTTTTTATGTCCACGGAGAGCCCAGAATACGTTCTTTATATGTATTATAAAATCACGTGGCTGTAGAAAGTATTATTTCCGGTACGTTTACGTTAATGTTATGTGAAAACCAAAAAGTACCATTTTTGAAATTGATTTTCTCAAAAAACCCATTTTTTATTTTTTTTATTTTTTGTTCAAATGTAGATATGATAGTTGTCTACACGAAAATCAATCCTAGAAAGTGTATATTTTGTTTGTATGTTTTATATTTAGGCCTCAATATCGGAAAAAAAACGTCTTTGTTTTGCAAGACCTAAGTCAGACATTGCGACCCATGCGTCTCTATGAATTGTGAAAAAGTTTTCTTGAATTTTCTTCTGCATTTTGTAATCAATTATAAACGAATTTTGTGGTATTGAATATTTATGTATGTTTTGATAAGAGCGGGAACCACGAGATACATATCTAACCAAATCAGCAGGCCTAGTAGATTTTCAATAACCAAAAGGCACAGACGTTGTATTGTTTCAATTTATAAACCTTTCACAGTAAACTAGCACGACTAGCTATTAGCTGTCATATTACTAAGACAAAGAAAGTCACCACATCCCTCGATTTGTTATATACAATTCTTTTCGAAACCAAACACTGGGGGTTTGTTCACCGCACATCGCACAGGTCACCAGGGAATGTGCTTTCACTTCCGTAATACACAAAAGTGGTGACACAAAAACGGTCCGAAACAGACAGAGAGTGTGTCATGGAGAGGGGTAGGAAATAAAAATAAACAAATAGGAATTAAATTGCCCAACTGCGATCTTAACGAAAATTGCGTTAAAAAAATAAAGTATTTAGGTTCGAGTGGTGGCAAGGCGATAGGTCCACGCCTGGTGGAGAGTCAGACACAGAAGTCGACGGCACGTAGAGGTAAAACAAACAAAAAATCAATAATTTAATAAAGACGGGAAAACTCAGCCGCACATGGTAAGATGATAAACCAACTCCTCCGGGCATTCCTAAATGGGACGCAACCAAATGCGTGCGAACACGCTCTCTACATCACCGCCTAGGCCGCTACGCCATGACAAAATAAACCCAACAACTGAAAAGTGCTAACAAACAGTTAGTAAAAAACATTGAAAAAAAAACAAAAAAAACGTTCAAAGACGCATTTGAGAAACTAAGTTCGGCGGGGCGAAGAAACACACACGAGTCGGTCCAACGACACTGAAGTCTGGCAGGATGACGGCGTCCAGATGTTGCTCGAATCTATTTTTCCCTCTATTACGCACATCCACGACGGCTGTGAGGAACAGTGGCTGTGCGAAAGAAAGTGAAGAATAGATTTGAGCAGGCGATGCGCGAGAAGGTAACCGAGACTATGCCTGAAGCTTCATATCGGGAGAGGAGCTTTCGAGGTAGTTTCTGCAGTTACTCAAACTTTCTCTTTCCCCTTCCCTTTTTCAAAAGAACACGTCAGACGGCGCTGACTTTTCATCTCGGGAGAAGCCCACTCTTTACAAACGGTTATAGTTGACAAGGAGGCTGACTTCGACCCAACTAGTCTCCGGGCAAAATAGAAACACAAGTATATTTACCAACACGCTCGTTTTAATGTCAGTCTCCGGGCTTTGCTGTTTCCAAAAGAGATAGCCCTTTATAAGGACAGAATGAGCGGGTTGGTGGGGATAATTAAACTTAAACAGCCCCTTCTCGTTTTCTTCCTCAAGTTTAATAGATAACCCTTCGGTGCTATGGGATCTCCCTGGAGAGAGAGAGAGAGCACGGCCGTTTCAAGGTAAAGATAGGGCGCTCGAAGCTGGGGCAAACAGGCGGTATCGTTTCACGCATGCACGGATGGCTGGTTTCAAATTTCCCCACATCCTTAACGAAACCGGCCCATCTTCGTGTGTGCGTCTGTGGGATTTCTGTCCCGCGCCGCCGGTTTTAGCGCGCACGCGGCGTTGTTTTGGCTGGCAGAACAGTTGTTGACCGTCGATATTGTAAGGCCGTGGTGTCCTCATCCTTTCAGGCAACGATTCCTTTGCTTTGCCTTGTGCAATACTCTGACTGACTCCTCCTGGGTGGCTGTCACTGTTCGCCGCGTCAACGACACAATCGTACCATTTCACTCCTCGTGACACAGGGTGCGCTGCTCGCTTTACTGTCACGGGCCGTCCTATCTAACACAACGAGCGCGAAAGGTTGTGGTCATCTGCTGGCTCCGAAAGGGCGGGACGTTCATGCAGGCCAATGAGGGCCCCGAATCAATACGACGTCTGCCGACTCCTACACGTTAAAAATTTACGACACCTGCTGGTCTGTTAAGAAGTGTTGCTTTCTCTTTTTGAAACTCCTCCGATGTAGCTTGCCGCCTATAGTAAAATTTAAATAATCAATAAATATAACAGGGTGGAAATACTGTATTTCATTTTTATGTGGGAACGCTGAAAAAAATTAAAAAAAAACTATTTCCAAGCTTGTGAAGACGCGCAATTCGAAAGTCCATTTCGTGCCGTAAAAACACGTTTTCGTACGATATTGATGCTTAAATATAAAACATACAAACAAAATATACACTTTCTACACTTAATTTTCGCGTAGAAAACTGTCACATCTACATTTTAACAAAAAATAAAAAAAATAAAAAATGGGTTTTTTGAGAAAATCAATTTCAAAAATGGTACTTTTTGGTTTTCACATAACATTAACGTAAACGTACCGGAAATAATATTTTCTACAGCCACGTGATTTTATAATACATATAAAGAACGTATTGTGGGCTCTCCGTGGACATAAAAAGTATTGATGTAACCGAAGTAGATCGCCAGTAATTAATTGTCAAAGTTCGTCAACAATTGACCGAGGGGGCGTTTTTGACATTTTTACAGAAAAAAAACAAAACGCCTAAAATTATTTAATGGTATTGGAGCCTTTTAAATGTGTCCACAGAGTGCTTTAAAAAAGATAATATAATGTGGACTGAAAACCCACGGCGAGAGATCAAGCGAAACATCCGACCCACGACGGGTCTGAAAAACATTGCTTTTCGCCGCGGCCTCTTTAAAAATTCATAAGTCGCGAACAAAAAATCCGACGAACTTGCGGTCTGCGGCGACTGCGTTTTTAAAAACGGCGCCATAACATATATTTTTTTCATCGAAATTAGAAATTCGACTTTTTTTGCCTGCACGATTTGAGATGAAACCACCCATATATATATATGAGTGCACGTTTGGTGTTGTTTGCATTAATTTTACTGCGGAGGACGTTGCCTTTTGCGCGGGATCAGTCTTCTCGTGTAACTTGTCTCCCAAATTTGCGTGCACCAATTTTTGCACCCTCCGATTTCCGTTCTATATTCGGTTTCTTTTCTTGTAAATGTGTTTCAGCCTTAACATTTTGCCGCGGCGCAGCTCTGTTCAGAGAAGAAACGGTCTCAGCACAGCAGGGTGCACGAAGCGCGTCGTGTGTTTAGAGAAAAAGAAAATGAAATTGGGCAAGAAATGATTTGGTAACTGCACCGTAATAAGTGGCTGCCAGCAGTGGAAAAAAAAAAAAAAGAGATATGTTGCCTTATAGTTAGAGTTAAGTCATCTGCCTTATTGTAGTATTTGAGGTAGAAAGGAGAACAAACTAGATGCCTGGGCCGGCTTGCAAGAGACAGCATCTCGGTTGAGACTGCTCAAAGAAAGCGCTGCCAAGGCTCGGGCGCGCGAGCGTCTAGGACTCGGTTTAAGCTCTAGCACTAGCCTTGACAGCGCTTTCTTTGAGCAGTCTCAACCGAGACTCTGCTTCATGCAAGCCGGCCCACATATCTAGAAAACCAATTTTCTGCCCCAAAAGGTGGTAAAAAAAATGTGTCACATTACTGTGCAATTGCGGGGCGTTAGCGTGAAACATTTTCGCGGTAGACTGCAACGCAAACAAAAAATGGAAAAGAGCAAGAAAAAAAAAAAAAAAAACAACAGTAAGTCCAGCGCGAAATGCTAGGGAAAGGAAGGTGGGAGTGGAGGAAGCAGATGGATAGCTGGCAAGGAGAGGAGGAATTTCCCTTGCCAGCGTTGTTTACTTACTCCTTTCCATGTTCCTTTCCCTTGCCCTTGGCAGCAGTTTAAATCAAATAGCGCTGCGTCGTCCTGGCTTTCATTGCACTGCTCAAGCTATGAATGACAAGGCGCTATACCATTCCAGCCGAGCTCTGTTCACCTGACCTCTCAAGCTAAATGCACAGAAGCGAAAACCTAGCCAACCTAGCCGAACGTTTCACATGACAATTACTGCGGCCATTCATATCACTGCCCATTGTTAGCATGCTAGACTGTAGCTCCTCATGGCTCGAGCAACCTAAAAGAACACGGAAACATAGTTTTGTATGTTAAGACTGGACGACAAGACGACACGCACGCTGCAGGTGTAGACAGGCAGGTGCAGGTGTTCTATCTTTCTGGTGTAAATAGAAACATTGCCTTCAGATTAACACAGAACATTGAGGATGGCTGTTTTGTACTTCAGTTTAAACACAATGTTAGTTTTGAAACTTGATGAAAGCTCACGTTAAGTGCTTTATAATCCTTACTGTGTTAATTTCTAGATAGGTGTATGTTTATGCTGTGTGTCATTATCTTCACAAGCACAGTTGATTTAATGTTCACTGACTTCAGTTGTGGCAGGAATAAAAAATTTGGGGTCAAGGATTAATATCTTTGGATTAGGACTTCGCCATGATTGCTTCGAATATTGGTAATGTTTCAGGTACCTTTATAAAAATGCAAAGATCATGTGTAGTACAAAATCGTGGAGAGAAAAATGTTTTTTTGCAGATCTTGGGACTTAAAGTAGACCTTCTATCCGAAAAAAGAAAGCCAAATTGTTCAGCTCTCATGTCGTCTTAGGATATTGTATTTCTCAGGGTCCCAACAAACATGTTCAATATTAAATCAACTTGAAATAAACCAAGCACTCCTTTTTGGTTATAGATGAGACATCACTGCAAAAGATGCCAGAAAAAGTTTACATCATTGGACACATTCTTCAAGCACACATTATATCATGAAACATCATCAAGAGGTGTTCCATGCAGCGTTGTCGGCTGTGAGGCTGCATTCAAAAATTACAACTCATTGCGAAGCCACATCACAAGGTGTCATTCTCCGCTTGCACCTCGTAATGCAACTAACTTCCAATCCTGCCGGACATGCAGTGTTAGTTCCTGCAGTGAAGAGGTGAGCCCTGGAAAGGCTTTTATCGAGCACCTCAAAAAACATCTCACCGGCAACCCGCCAACTGTTGTAACTTGTCCAGTTGATGCGTGTGATAGCCAGCTTAGGACATGGGGTTCACTCATGACCCATCTTTCCATATGCCATGGGAATGGAAAAAAAAAAAATCAGTGGTGACAGAGCCAGTAGAGCAGGATGAAATAGTGACGTCATGCTGTAGCAAGGATGACAATGGTCTGGAGAACATTAGGGAAAAACCAGACGTTGAGAGTGAAGTGCCTTCAGTCATTGATGATGTGGATCCCACTCACTTAGATCAAGACTCTTTCCTTTTTAAAAAGGCAGAATATGTTCAGTTCTTTGCAAGAGTCACTCACTCCTAAAACAAACATACACTATTATGCTCATAAAAAGGTGCTTTGAACGACGAATACGATTGCTACTTTCACCATACAGTGGTCCTTGCAGATTTCTTTCCTTCAATATTTTGCTTTTCCCAAAAAGGTATTTTGATTACAAAGATTTTGGATATGAGGAGTCAGTGATAACATGAATTTTTTAAGGCTTACAGGTGTCTGTCTGGACGGAACATTGAGCCTGCCCAAAGATGTCCTCCTCCTCGTGACATTCCTATGTTCAAGCCCCAAAAATGATGCTGTGCTCGAGTGGAGCCTCAAAATCAACAAGGCCGAGGCAGAGTTCAAAGATCAAAACGCAGCAGCTGTCTGCCTCCTCCCATTGCTTGCATCCTACTTTCAAGAAAACCTCGGAGAGCTCTTCCAGTTACATCAGGTAGGAGCATTCATAATAACCAGGTTATTTGTTTCCAAAGACACATCCTCATGACCTTGTTGAAAATAACTTCCTGGAAGTCTCACACAGGCAGTCAGCATTCCACTGAGAAACTATGCATCTGGAAATACTAAACTTTTCTTCATTTTTTGAAATTTTCAGCTATATCAGTCTTCCTGTATACCGTAACATACCGGTCATGCACCTATGTCCGAATAGGCGCCTACCTAGTGATTTTTAACCATTGGAGCAATGCCTTGTACTCTTTCTGCAGTTTCGCTTTCTGAGCGACCATCCCCCCACTTTTTCAGAATTGTCTGCAAAATCTTTGTGAACGCTTTCTTGGTATCTGACGACAATGCTGATAATGAGCACGTAAAAAGTGAAATTACTATTGCTCTACGAGGAGCCAAACCTTCCTTAATCTTTTCCTGGCTGAGGTGGCTCAACTTATTATACTTCACATTAGAGTGCAATGGGAAGATATGCAACTCTAGGCTGGGTCATCTTATAGTATGTTCTACATAAATATTTCACTAAACCAAAGGGGGAGCGACGGTGGGCACCCACTCTTGTACCACTTGCTTCTAATGGGTTCACATGATGTTTTGCATTTTTGGGATCGAGTGTTAGAGTTAACACAAAAATTATGCTAGAGAATTAACTAGTGACAAACGTTTGTACTTCCACTTCGACTCCTAAGTTAGGATCATTTGTTTTTAATATTAGCAGCTTCCTTGTCCCGCAGGTGTAACAATGAGGCTTTGTGACAGATATCAGCAGACACATTGCTGCTTATTTAACGTTGTTTTTTAGTTGTTATTGAGCGTTAGGATAACAAATGTTTGTAGTTAAAAATGTCCTTATTAGTGAGAAAATAACAGGAACCGCATCCTTTGATCTCAGCAAACGCTATCTCCTGTAGGTGGGATGAAGGGTTAAAGGAAATAAGGGTGAGATGAAAATAAAGTGGGTGAGACGAACCTCTTTCACATAAGTGAGGGGTGAATGGAGAATAGCCTTTTGGTATTCCCAAATACCCGTGGGATTAACAGACTCTTTCAAGGTTTGGGGTTCTTGCACGTGTGGGCAGTACCAGGAGTGCGCTTCTGTGACTGTGACCTCGCAGTGGGCGCATAGGCTCTTGTCTTTTTCCTGTGTATGGCGGCTTATGCACCATGTTCTTGTGGGTGTTACATTTTGCTGTTTCCTTGGAAACCATAGTGGTGTGGGTCCGTTGTCTTTTCAGGCGAACCTCTTCCCACCTGGTATAATTACCATCTGGGAGTGGGTCTAAGTCTTCTTTGAGTAGAGCCGTGAGGTGTTTTCAGTGGGCCTGTTGTTTGGCTTCCTGGGAGAATAGGGGGTCCTTTGTGTCTTTTTCAATGAAGGCGGCGCTGTTGTCACCAAGGATAGTAAGGATAAGGGAAGACAGGAACTCGCATGCGGCGGCAGACACTGTTTTATTTACTTGGGAATGGTTTGGTGTACCAGGAAGCAGTGGATTTAAAGTTGTCGGCCTTCCTGCCAGAGTCCTTTGAATGTGCCCCACACTCGTCGTGTGTTATCTCGGAGCTTGCACCTCAGTTGTTTACGGAGCTTCTGGGTGTATTTTTTATCTTCACCGTGCTTGCATTGAAATTGGCTTGGAGTTTTCAGTCCTTATTTCTCCTGTAACATTGTTGGGCTTGCAGTCTGATAGCACACAAGTTGAGGAGATGAAGGTCGGGGTCTGGGTCGTCTTGTTTGGTTTGGTACTTCTGAGTGGATGTGGCTTTCATTATTCGCTCACCTAGACACTTTTTCAGGTGCTAGGTTAATGAAGCTGATCTGTCATTTAGTGTTGGGGTGTCTTTCTGTCATTAATTCTATTTCGACGGGTAGGTGCTTGCTTCCCAAGGCGTCGGAGCAGTTCGCACTCGGGCTTGGATGTTGTGTATGGCCCATGTCAAGTCTTGTGGTGTCGTTCTCAGTGCGACGTTTGCCAATGCGAATGGCAGTCTGTTTTTCTTTGAGAATTCATAGATTGGCCTGCTTGGCGGGTGTGAAGACATTGCACTCTCTGTCATTGTCTCGCTTGTATCCCCATATTCGTGCATCTGCGGTAAAGTCGCCGGCCACGATAAGTTCTTCGGGCATCATTCTTTGCGATCCGCCTTACGTCGTCTTGCTTGTGTCCCACAGTTCTACATTCTGTGGGAATAAATATAGACCCATAGATGTATGGTACCTTCACTAGCATTTCGTGCATTTCTCAATTAACCACACATGTTTTCTGACTTTTCTTAGGTGACAACAGAAATCACAGAGGAGTTTCGTAACAGTCTGCCTGCTTCTCCTGTAATTGTTGCACTGGGTGAGCTTCATGTGTCTTTTCCTTGCATGCTTTGTATTTTTGAAGGTGCTTTCTTTTTTAATTTGTGTTGAATTTTGGAACAACAACCTAGACCGTTTTATCGTGGGTAGTGCCATTTTGAGAGTGAGAGAGAGAAGAGGGGTCAGTGCAGATGACTCCTAGTGACTCAATTGTAGTGGGATACTGTAGTGGTGTAACCAGAGTGCTGGAATACTGCAGTGGTGTAACCAAAGGGTGTGCCGATTTTGACCAGAGCTAGATAGACGACCACATTGTTTGGTTTCGGCAGCCTCATCAAGCACCAATGTAAAGCACATGTCCTGGTATTATACCATACTTTGACAATCAATGTTTGATTGATCCAGCAAGAAAAAGAGAAGTTTTTATTTTGGTTTGTGAGTGAAGGTGCCACAAAACGGCATACAGCCCAAACAGCAGGTGCCTGTGAGGCATTTGATTGTTTGGGCCTGCATTCTGTGTCTTGTCCAACCCAAACAGCCAAATTTTCTGCTCGTAGAATGTGTGGTCGCATGCGGTCTCCGGTCATTTAATTTCTAGCTAAAGCAATTTAAACGAAACCGACGACTGGCATTGCACGTTGGCATCAGACTTCCATGCTACTGATTTTGTTCACAAACTCAACAAAAAGTGTTTGATTCTACATGCTCATATACAAATTTTTTGTTTTGTTCAAACCTTCAGGAGCACTTTGCATAACTTAATGTCATTACTGGGTATGGTAGCTCAACACTATTTAGTGCGACCCTTATTTGGCTTGGCATATAAGGTGTGCCTTATCTGTGATTGTGATGCATCTCAGTCTCAGATCTCAGATATGCGTCACAATCCTATATCGGTGTGCCTACCTATTCAGTGTCCCTGCTGGTAATACCTCTATAGAAGTTTCCAGATGCGAATATGACAATGGTATTTTTTTCTTCATTTAATGCGTGAGCGTTAAAAGCCCTATTAGAGAAAAAGCCGGCGTAGTGGTGTCGGTCGCATGACTTTTCTGGTCACTTGACTAGATAGGTCGATACATCTGATACTAACACATTTTCTCCGCATTAATTACATTAATCGCTTGTTTCTTTCCTAGGCCGCTCACTTTTCGAATGCAGCTGCCAGCTGTTTGTGGACCATGAGGTGATGGTGGAAGATGTGGGCTTTCTGCAAGCTGTGGAGCTCCTTTTCGCCCTTTATTATTGTTTAAACATCCAGTATGCCAAAGGTGCGGGAACCACACTTGAGTTCATTCAGAGGTATGGTTTATTTCCTTCATAATTTTGAGCCTCATGAGAGGCAATAAAGAGCAACTCTGCTGAATTTTGGCTGAGAAAACAATTAGTTCTCTTTATAATCATCTAGGAAGGCTACAACTGAAATCTTTCTGTATATAAAATTGGACCCTCAAAGTTTGACAAGCGCTAATCTGCTAATTTTAGCGAGCGATGTGCAGGCTAGCCAACTTTGGCACTTCCTTCAGATGTGACATCATGTTGATGTCTGTTGTATACACCGGCTTTTTTCTCTTTCAACGCCATCACATGTCCAGTCAGTTCAGACAACACTACCTAGAGTTGACCCAGTGAGTGGGGTAAATCACGTAATCATGCATCTGCCATGGACATGAGTGTGCATGCAACTGACGTCGCTGCTTGCCCTTTGCCGAAGTTTCGGTTTCAATTTGCGACTTGAGTTATAAATAGCAAAGTTGCACAAACAATATTCTACTTTTCGTGAAACAATGTAGAGTTGTTCATGAGTGCTTTTCAAAGTAAGGTCATCCACTATCTTGAAATTTTCTAAATTGAGTAGAGTTGCCCTTTAATTTGTCACTGGCTACCCACATTTCCAAGCTCAATTTCAGAGTCCATTATTAAACCGCAATAGGGTGTTGTATTCTTGGACCACAGAATGAATAAAACGTGCTCGGGACGAAGGAGACGACAAACATTTCTTTCAACTAAGAACAACAGGAATGAACTTAAGAGCACTCCATGCAATTCAGACTGCCAAGAAAATGGAGAGAAAGGGAGGCAGGAAGATAAAAAGGAAAGTGTAAAGTTAGAATTGTAACTCATGCTGTTACTTCACTCTTTTTCTTATTTCCTTCCTTACAATTTTTGACACTTACCTTTCTCTCTTTCTGCCTCCCTTTCTCTTAGTTTCCTTGGCGGTCTGAATTGAAGGAAGTGCTTTTAAGCTCATTCATGTTGTTAATTAAAAGAAATGTTTGTCGTCCTTCGTCCGGGTATGTTTTGTTCTTTCTGTGGTCTGTGAATTTTACCAACACACTCTTCAGTTACTTTAAAGGTTGTTATATCTTGCATAATAATTCGATTTAAAAATTTCGCTAATGTTACAATGTGACTATGTTTGATCCTATCCCAGAAATCACAAATAAATATGTCAATATATCTACTATATTCCTATTGTTTTATCTTTACTGAATGTGTCATTTACTTATAATTCTATTTGGCATTCAGTTAGAAGGCAGAGTCATAAGCAGTATACATTATTAAATTATTTTTGGCTGGAAACAAATTGGAGCCTCAAAATATGTTTAATATACTCAGCTAATTATTTCTTTAAGAGTTTCTTTACTGCACCACACTATTCTGTATCACTCTAAAAGTGTCTAGAAGTGATATGTGCAGATGATCTCTAATTCATAACTAAATTTGACTGATATACAACCTTTTCACAACTTTTTGAAGCTTTATTTCTGCATGTTTTAGTAGCATGTGGTTCATGTTTGATTTTGTACCTGAATACCTTTTTCTCGTCTTTATACATGTTTATCAATCGTATGTTCTTTCGACAGTGGCTGGCCAAAATGTGGCTTCCTAAAAAAAGAGAATGATTCTCTTACAACATTCCTTTTGCCATGTCTGGTGCTTTTAAGCAATGATTAACAGCTAGTTGAGTATTTTAGGTCATTCAACTGTCTGCAATACTAATTATGCAAATGAGTGCTTGCTTAATTACGAGTAGAAATGCAGAGGAGGAATTGCTTTGTGACTGTGTAGGACAACAGACAAATTTTAATGCTGTATTGTAATAAAAGAAATAAGCACGAAGCAGGGATGGGCAAAATACATGCAAATATGTATCGAAATACAAATACAAAATGCTTCGTCAAAAATGTATTTAATTACAAATCTAATTACTTTTGCAAAAAAGTATTTAAGTACAAGATACAAATACAGACAGAAAAGTAGTTGGTCTCTTCCAAATACTTTTCCAAATACATTCCTTAAAATTTGCGTCAGCGACTTCAGGGCACCTGCAACAGGTTCCTGGGTATCTCATTTTAATTTTGCATCGCACACTCGGGAGTTAGTGCTCGAGGCTCTAGTAACGTAATACAAATATAATCACAAAAAAAAATGTAATCAGCTTGGACGTAATAGGTGAAAAAAGTACAGAGCTTCAAGCAGTTTTTTTTTTTTTTTTGATTACATTTTGGTATAGACAATCAAAGGACCGAGACGACCAAGACGCGCAGCACTAGCTACAGATTTTTTTATTGTTGCAACTCGCACCAGTTACAAACATCTGGATGACCCGCGCATTTAGAATGTTCGAGGCAAAAGTATGGATGGAAATCAGGCTGGAAAGCATCACAAGTTGTCACTGTCACTTATTTAGCCAGTCTGCCTGTGAACGTCGATTTCGTCACTATTCTTTCCCTGGACTAGCATCGTAATTACAAAGTCACAAAACGCTTGTGCTTGATTGAGAGACACTGCATTCGATGCAGAACGTAGTTTTCTTCCTGCTCTGGACAGTGACAATAAATTTGAGGGATGTATTTTCGCCCACAAAATTGTATTTAATTACAATTGTATTTGAAATACACATGTTTTAGTATTTAAATACACACATCAAATACATTACAGAATTTTTAATTAAATACAAATGCAAAATACACAAAGTATTTGAAATACGTAGTTCAAATACTTGTATTTGAAATACTGCCCATCCCTGGCGCGAAGTATGTACTTGTTCTTCTGTTTATGTCGCTGCTATAAAATTTACTTTTGTTTGCTTCCAAAGCTTCTCCCAAATGACTCAAATCAATTACATCGCTGTCTGTTCAATATCTTTAAATCAACATGTTTTTAGTGTTTTGTAGGTCTAAAAGTTACATATATGAATCCTACCCCTTAAGATGTGCCACATGGGGCTTATAACTTCTGAAATATTCCGAGTTCTGTATCCCCATCGCATCTGAGTGAGGGAAGCCTTGAGTGCCAGATTTTCTCCTCTGTCAGAAAAATGAAACATTATTGCAATATTTTTTTGTTGTTCCCTCATTGTTTTATTTTCCTCAAAATCTAGGCATGAATTTGTACCTTGACATATTTTCTTTAAGTGCACAGTGCACAGTCTGCTGGCCTAAATGTAGGTTTTGCTCAGCTTGTTATGGCTTAATTGTTATTTCAGGAACCTTCAACACACTTATACATTTGAACTGTGCACCTATGTGACTTTGGTGGCAAAGCTTAGGGCTTTCGACATTAGTTGTGCATGTAAAATATCAGCAAGTACTGATCCCAAATCCTTCACTGCAATTTTTTTTCACTTGTCTGGTTTCTGACCAAATACTTATGGGCCAATCTGCTATTTGTTTCAGATACCAGGTTGGTATCAAACAACATGATGGGTCACGACAGGAGGCCGGGAGGTCGAAAGGAGCTCGGGCAAGAGCAAGCAAAGCCGCCACAGATCTTGCTGCTTTTGAGAAAAAAATGGAACGGTGTGAGTACATATTTGATTTGGCATGTGTACGATGTGGTATCAAAAGGTTTCCAGTCTTGTCTTGTATTAAAAAGAAAAGCAAATGGCGGCACAACACTGCATTCACAGGGGTCGAGGGCAGCAACCTTGATCTGTCATGATGCTGAGTGGCTCAATGTGGCAATGCACAGGCGAGTTGGTGCATGATTATAACTGGTAGCAGCATGCAAAAACACACGGACAAAGGGACGAATGCACAGGACTTCGGTGTTTCCTTTTCATTAAACATTTAGTTGAAGTTCAGCGCTCGCCTTGTGCATTTCCTCCCTTTGTCCTTGTGTTTTTGCGCGCTGCTACCAGAGGCTTAGAGCATCGCTCTGTGAGCTTGGGAGCCCCTGCTGTACAGGTTTTTGTGACTTCATGTGCGTGCGCCTCTGCAATTTGTGCAAGTGGTTGTGGTCCTCCCGTAGCCTTTTCAATCATCTGAATATGAATTTGTTTTATTTTCAGCTTATCTGATGATCGATCGGATGCCATGAAGGTTTCTTTATAATTATGTTCTTTTACGGTTTACAATATAGTTCTTCAATTTCAAAACTGCCTCCGTTTTGTCTTGTCCCTTTTTTCAGACACACTACACTTGTATTTTTCGAAACAAAAAGGATTTGTCGTTATATTACGGAACTGTACTGCGCTAACTCATGATGCCAGACGTTATCTGTAACCCTCCGTAATACTACCAAGGCCGTAGCTGAGAGTTCACATTATTGTTACCGTACAGCGAGCACACAGCGATAGAAGTGCAGTACGCAAGTACGGGATTAAAGCTGCAAACTAAACTTGAGGTATGCAAGCCGTCAAGCGTTCCGACGGTATTGAAGGCGTAAGGGAAGGGTACGGTAACTGAACTGTTACCGTTACAATACGGCAATGGAAGTGCAGTATGAAAATACGGGACTGAAACCGTACCCTTCCCTTACGCCTTCAATACCGTCTGAACACTCGACGGCTTGGATACCTGGAGCTAAGTTTGCGGCTTTAGTCCTGTACTTGCGTACTGCGCTTCTATTGCTGTATGTCTGCTGTACAGAAATGATAATGTAAACTGTCAGCTACGGCTTTGGTGGTATTACGGAGGGTTACAGATAATGCCTGGCATCATGAGTTAGCGCAGTACGGTTCTGTAATATAACGGCACTTTTTTTAACAGTGTACGCGTTCGTCCCTAGGGCGGAATTCTGGTACCACCTCCTCACTGTCAACGCCGGTTCCGGGGGCATGAACGAAATCGCGGACTGAACGAGTGAGTTCATACGTTTGAGTGTGACTCGGCTAGTGTTTCAGAACATAGTAGCGGCGGGAAATGTGTAGGCAACCGCCGTTTAAATATAGGGCGTCCCGGGAGAGGAGCCGCAACTGCTAAATAAAGACGCCGCAGCGCCGTGTCAGAAACTTTTCGGTGTGAAAGCGACGATGCAGCGATGCAGGGTATGCATGCTTCGAAATTAAGACAGGACATCCAGTGCATGGACAAAGACATCACACTTGACTGCAGAGGCGGATCCAAAAGGAAGGGGGAGCGAGGGGGCGGTCGCCCCCCCCCCCCCCCCCCCCAACAAAGTCGACCCCCCTCCCCTTTTCTCGGAGGGCAATTTGACATGGGTCGACCCCCCTTGCACAAGAAAGAATGGGAAAATAGTATCCTTTACAAATTTTCCGCCCCCCCCCCCCCTAAGACGAAGTTCTGGATCCGCCCCTGCTTGGCTGTTACCAAGTCAAAAGTCCTCTTCAAATAAAAAGGAAGATAAAAAATTAACATTAATTTTTTTTATTTAGTTCTAGTCCCCCGCATTCGAAAGCAGCTGTAATTCTACCGGAAAATTACATTAAGCAATTTGGAATCGCGGGAATTTTAAAGTCGGCCTTCAATTAAAAAAAAAAAAAAAAAGAAGAACGTAGCACAGCGTTACGTCCGTGTTGCTTTTTAGAGCGCAGCTCTTAGGGGCCCATTTCCGGCTTGAGCGGCGTCGGCGTCGCCGTCGCCGTCGGCGTAGCCGCGCGGTGCATTATGGGTAAAATTCCCCGCTAAATCTAGCGGAAAAATTTCCCCGCTATTAGCGGGGAAAAGTCCCCGCTAAATCTAGCGGAAAAATTTCTCCGCTAAGTCTAGCGGGAAAAATTCCCCGCTAAATCTAGCGGAAATATTTCCCCGCTAAATGTAGACGAAAAATTTCCCCGCTAAATCTAGCGGAAAAATTTTTCTGAGGGGTCACCTGACCCCCCAAGGTCACATGAACCCCCCTTTCCCCCCGAGGTCACGCGACACCCGCGACGCCCCGCCCCCCCCCCCCCCCCCCCCCCCGCCCCGAGAACAGATAACCCTCAGTACCCTTCACTCCACCTCCTCAAGAGCTGCGCTCCAATTCGGTGTTACAGGGAGTTGTAAAGGGCTTTCATTTTTTTGTCTGGTCCTCGTCTTTTCGCGCTGTTTTAGAGCGCAGCTCTTAGGGGCCCGTTCCCGCTTTGAGCGGCGTCGGCGTCGGCGTCGGCGTCGGCGTAACCGCAACCCTCGTAACCCTCGTGAGGGTTACGAGGGTTAATCTCATGAGGGTTACCCTCAAAAGGATCACGAGGGCCACGAGGGTTACTTACCCTCGTAACCCTCACGAGGGTTACGAGGGTTAGCTACCCTCGAAAGGGTTACCTTCACGAGGGTTACCCTCACGAGGGTTACTTACCCTCGTAACCCTCACGAGGGTTACGAGGGTTAGTTACCGTCAAAAGGGTTACCTTCACGAGGGTTATGAGAGTTACCCTCACGAGGGTCACGAGAGTTACCTTCACGAGGGTCACGAGAGCTACCCTCACGAGGGTCACGAGAGTTGCCCTCACAAGGGTTACTAGGGTTACTCTCACGAGGGTCACGATGGTTACCCAGGTCACGTGACCGCCCCCGGGGTCACGTGACCTGGGGATACCCCGAGGTCACGTGACACCCCCGTTGACGTCATAGTCACTGATGACGTCACCGGCATCCGCATCGTCATTATCATCATCACTGATGGCGTCATCAGTGACGTCACTGATGACGTCATCGGCATCGTCACGTGGCCCCAGGTCACGTGACCCCCCCCCCCCCCCGACGTCACGTGACGCCCCAAGGTCACGTGACTCCCACAAGGTCACGTGACCCCCCGCCGCTGAGGCCACTTGTTACCCTACAGGGAGTTGTAAACGGCTTTCATTTTTTTAATTCCGATGAATATACGTGTTTTAAGTTCCGATTTCGCGCTCGGAGTCAAAACCAAATATATATGTTTATTCATTGTTTTGCGTTATTTTAACGCCACGCCAAATTCCTTAATGTGTCTAGAGCCGAATTAAATAGCTACTCCAATAATAAAACTAATCGTGAAGCATTGAACTCATATTCATATTTTTACATTAAATTTTAATGTCGAAGTTGGAGCTCGCTGTGCCGTTTTGAGTATTAGATTTTGCAGCTGGCGGCGCATTTAACCACATTCCTTGATGTGAGGTACATAATTCGATAACCTCGCATGGCAAGATTTATTGTTTCACACGATATAAAAGAAATTACGAAAACAATTATCAAATCCTAATGATATATCAAGCCGAACCTGCAAAATAAATAACGACAACATCATACCAGGAGCCAAACCGCAATGGGGAGGTTTTTAACAACTCCATGAAGCCTTGCACTTTAACTCCACGAAATTAGCGCTCGAGTGACCCCTATAATCGACTTAGCAATCGATATAGAAGCACTCGGTAATTTGACCCGGTCCTGTTTGCAGCTCTGTTTTCTTCTCTCGACGGCACCCTTTGTGAACAGCATAAATTCATACACCAAATTGAAAAGATGCGAAGGCCTCAACTGACCTGCGTTGGAATTGGCTGAATTGGCATCACCAAAGGAGGACACCACGTCCTTACCTGGGAAGAAAAGACAGGATGATACAACAGGGGTGAGTTAATCTCTCAATGTATTGACAGTCGTTCATACAAATCGAACGGTCGTGCAAATATAATAACAATAATATTATTATGATGATGATTAAAAGCTCAGTTAGAGACCCGAAGACATAACGTGAACATTGTACTCGATCATAAACGACGGAAGAGTCCGAAGTTGTTTCACACAGCTTAATATGTAAGCAGCAAAAACTCCCAAGATGCAAAACAGAATCGAAAATAACAATAACATATAGGCAAATACAACATATTCAGTATGTTCTGCAAAACAACAACAACAACATTTGCAGTGATTCGGAAACTACAGGTTTTAACCATCATTTGTATACGCTTGATTGGAAGAATTAAAGCACCTTGCCGGTTAACGGTAACTTTCACGGTTCCTCGGAGTGTGCAACTCTCAAATCAAAAACGAGTGTTTCAACAGGTGCCTGAAACGACAAAAGTTAGCTAACAGCGTGTGTGTGTATATGTATATTCTCCTTTGCTTTGTTTTATGGGGTTTGCCCGCGTGAGCTTGTAGAGCTGGTCAGAGGTTCGCCTTGTGCAACCAGAAGCTAAGAATGCCAATATAGTGACCTACATTTTCAACCAAGCAATTCATGGAGCTAGATAAAAAAAAAAAGTCCCCGACCGTCCGATAGAACGAAAACGTTTTGTCGACTGGCGACAAAAGGATCGCGGACACAACACGCAAGTTGACGCCGTCAAAACAAAATGCTGGAAAAGAAAGCTGAACATCACTTGTTGATTACGATGTGCTTGATTAACTTCATCTACGACCACTCTTTCAATATGCGCCTCTTAATGCACACGCATACATTACCAGCATGTTGGTACATATTTAAATTTAAGGAGACGATTTAACGCGAACTATAGAACAAAGCCAGTAAAGCTTATTTATAATTTCGAAAAGTTGCATTTGTAACTTCAGTCGGCTTTTTAGGGGGTCACTCGTAATTCGACGCGCATTCTTCGAAAGTAAAGAGGAGGCTAAGCTGGCTTTCTGCGAAAACGTCGCAACCCAATTACCTCGCTAGTTCTATAATGAGGGCAATCAATTCGACAAAGATCGATTATCCAAAAATACGTAAATAGTTACCGAATCACGTAGTCTGTTCTAAACGAGAAGCCGTGGAAAGTCCTCCCAACGATTAGGAGGAAACGCCCGCGGCATAAACAACGTTTCGTATTTAGTTTCCTTCGGAAAAGCGGAAACGAATGCCTCCGCACCCTTTTCTGTCAAGAAAACGAAACAAATAAGATGACGCAAACATTCGTCTTTGCAAGTCAAACCTGATCGCTCATGAAGGTGAAAATATGTACTTCAAGGATACGCACCGGGTCTTCCGGTCGTTTCGTTTTCATTTAACGGCCTCGTGCAAAACCGTGCAACCGTTTTTTTTTTTTTTTTTTTTACACATTAAGGTAATTTTTATTTAATTTTTAACAAAATTTTTGGACCCAAAATCTCGCCATGTCTCGCCCATTTCGAAAGTGTGCCCTCTGTTGGAAGCTGTGGGATTCCTGCACAATGGCGCACACAAAAAACACCGCCAATGTTGGAACCTTAAATGCTCTAATAACGACACTTCATTTCGAGCTCATGTAGTTTTAGAATTTCACAATCTGGGGTGTCGCTTGTTCCGCCGTTTGCGGCTCCAGCAAAACAGACGGCACCTAGCGGAAAAACACTGAACTGGCCGGAACAGGTCTTTTTGTGATTTCCGCTCGTCTTTTGTGGCTCCCGTGATGACATGTTGTCGGTGGTTTGCGCAACAGAACAGTTCTCCCGGTGACTCTGCTGTCGTAACGGTAGTATCAGCTTGTTCCCAGGTTGTTCTGCACGCAAGCTACGCAACCGCGGGAACCAGACATTCTGCGTTTCTCAACGTTCATCGGCACCGTGGAAGGGCAGTAGGCGGTCTCTTCATCGCTTCCTCAAAAAGAGTCAAGCCTCTGGAAACTCGCTTACCCTAACAGATAGCCGCAGGTTCGAAATGTGGAGGATTAAAATCGGGGGAAACCATCTTTAGTGCAACGCTTGCTTTCTCATGCCCCAGCGCTGTGCGCTGAGACGGCACATGGCACGGCACGAACTGTATTAGAACGCCATATTTGCCCGATAGTGGCATCTTCTATAGGTCGCTGGTGTCGCGATTGCTGCAGCGCTTCAGACCGTTTAACGATGAGCACGTGAGGTTCGAAAGGGGTCTATGGGCTATTTGTTAATGATTAAAACTTTATAACACATCTAAGAACATTAAAAATAAAAGCGCCAGAAAACGGGAGAAGAAAGGAGACGACAAGGCGCTCCATTCTCCCGCAATACATGTCCAGAGGAATGTCTTACTAATCGACCAACATATGACGTATGGCTTTTTTGTTTTTCTAACTGCGATTCAAAACACACCTGAAAAACACTCACTCCTGTGCAAGATTGCTTGCACAAAAAAAAAAAAAAAGAATATCCCTGACAGTGAAAGCTATAAATTATTCATCAGGGTGAAGAAGTGAATAGGTGTGGAGTCCCCCTATTCATGTCCAAACGCAAATATTGAAAACAAGAAAGCACTCGCTTTCCTTTCTACGTTTGCATTCGTCTTATTCCTGTCGCTAAAGCTGAGTCAGCCCCGAAGTCTAATCATAGCACCTCAGTTGAGTTACTTGTATGCGTTTCCAATCACATATGGAGTATAAAAAAAAAATGCTGCAATATTAACTCAATACAAAACGTACAAAAATGTATAAGAGATGATTCCGTTCGCTTGTAGGGGCACAGCTTCATATCGTGTTCTAATGCCTTTCCAAACCGAGAATATCCGTAATTGAACCAGTCACGGTTCCCCGTACGCGTACACATATACGCACCCAGAACCTTGACTGGCTGCGCATTCATTCGCAATTCCACCACGATTGCCGCAGCGACGCAGACGGAAACACAACCGGCGGATCACGTGCACGAGTCGGCCGTGACAGCCTACAACTTCCTCGCGAACGTTCACAGCGCGTCACAACAACGTCCGTGTACGAAGACATCGATGACTCCCGCCACGGCATGACTACTACGCGCCACGATTATGCATATTCGTCTACCCTCGGCCACTTCGGCGAGCGGGCAATTGTCATATTCAGTGTCACCTTGAGATGAGTGGACGCTACACGCCATCCCAGTCAATCAATCGCTGTGAACGTATCACGTGATTCTTCGCCTTACACGTCGATGCGCCCCTCTCGAAGGTCACTTTACACACACACGGCGTTGAAATGGCCTCGATGGTTCGTAGCGTCCTTTGGGGTTCATCAGATGGAGTGTAGCAAAGGCACTATAGGAATCTTAGTGGAAGTTTCCGATAGCTCCGATAACAATACCCGATATTACGCATGTGCCTTTGCGTATGCGTTGTATAGTTATTGGAGTTACCGGAACGATGTACTAAAACTTCCTACTCATGGAACGGAATCGCGCAACAACTAATAAAAAGGAACGAGACTTCAAATACTTTACTTCGCGTTTGTCCAGAAAGTTGTACGGATTCGCGGTGAAGTATTCGCTTGGCCTTCATGCCCCTTTCAAGCTCAGCGTCTGTATATATACACACAACTGACTTCCCGATATCGACATCAACCGCCCGCGGACGCCTACGTATGATTCACGTGGCGCTCTGGCAACTGTGAGTGCGTAAACATATGACGAGGTTAAAAAGAAAAAAAGAGAGAGGTAGACAGGGAGAGAGAGGAAAGGGAATGCGGAAACTTTGATGTGCCAGAGAGCCCCAGACTCATCTGTCTCGGCATCCGAATAGACCTGGCAAACTGAAATGAGTCGGACCGGATTTTTATTTTTTGTTTTAGCTTGTTCTCATCGTACCGTCTTGATTACGGGGTCGTGAGTTAATTTGACCCCCTCCGGATGGGTCTCACCAAGATATGCGGAAAAGAGCCCGACTCATTCTTTGGCGACTGCGTGATAGGTAGACTTCGTTTTGCCTTATGATGGAGCGCTAGGGACACTACGATCCATTCCAGCCAATCCATCGATGTGAACGTACATCACGTGACTACGCTCTACGCCTCTCTAGAGAGTAGACCCGGAATTTCATAGGCTCCAATTGCTCGCAGCGTCCCATGCGGTCCATCGCAAGGTGAAATCGAGTATAGTTGGCGTGCTAAAACCGCTTTTCCTCCTACTTCTTTTTTTATTTATTTTTACTTTTTTCGCTTTTTTAGCGATGGAAGTTGAGTTTCGTTTACTTCACCATCCAGCGTGTCTGGACGTCAGGCAATTTGTGTTTCGGAGTTGCAGCTGCTAACGAGACATTTTCAGCGGGAGGTCTAGGGTACGGGGCAGCTGTGTTGCTATCTAAAAAAACACTAAAATGTGCAGGAGAAGAATGAAGAAAATAAAAACAAAAAAACGAAAAACAAACGCTATTTCTCCACGAAAAAACTCCACTCGTTTTGTTATTGTAGTTTTTTCCGCCATAAGCCTGGGTTGCTGGTAGGCAACAAGGCGTACGCAGGTGCACGAACTGTAGCAATCACGAATCTACTTTAAAGCATTAAAAAGACACAACCAGTCTCATAAGCAAACAAAGAGATCGATGAAAGACAGGTGGGACGTTAAATATTGGAAGTATGATAAGATAAGCATTCCGAGTTATACTGGTGTTGCTGAGTCTAGAAGGTGTGTATGATACCAATGGATATTACAACCTAACTTTCCTGCGCCACTTTACTACCAAAATCGGTCTCTAACGTGCATCACGCAGCAGCAATACATGACGGTTCGCGTCAGTAGGATGCTCATCCAGATCGAAGGGGGCAGGGGTAAGTTTAACCCAGATTCCCTGGGTTCTACGGCGCGATCATTCACACTCGGACCCCGATTTTCCCTTCAGTCTCATAAACGGCTACTTATTACCTACGAAACGACGAGCAAATGAAGGAAGAAAGAAGGA